ATTTGAATTGTTTTAATTTTGAAGATTGTCATTAAATTGCTTTTCAGAAACATTATGTACTCTTACCCTTTAATAATTAATTTTCCAACTTACATTCGAATCTAACGACTGACGTTAAATGAGAGCAGAAATGATAGCGATTTATTTATAAATTATGCTGAATTATATCCTACAAGAATATGTTAGCTGCATATACTAGCAATTTCACTTTATACAAATATTTGATTATAATAATTGTATCCATTATTATTATTATATATATATATATATATATATATGTCTTTTGAAGCATACAATTCTAATAGAAACTTAGTATTTTTAATTATTTCTTTATAGGTATGCGTATGAATAATGACTATTTCGTGAATATGTTTAATTATTGATAATTTAATATGTATGGGAAATTATGTGACACGCGGAGTAATTGCATTCAAGGTGTATTGGTAGTGCTTTTGAAATATGTATTCAGCGGTAATAGCCTTATGTAAAATTGATTAATAGAGCTTTAAATGTAGTTTAATTGTAATTCGAATAAAAAATTTAATTCTTAACTTTAAATATGATTTTGTTTTAGTTTTCTCATTTATTAAATGTATTTTCTTTTACTTTACTTGAATCTATAATTTGAATTTTAAAACAATTTCATTATGAATATTCATAGTTTACTTTTGTTAATTTAATAAAATAATTGTCAGTTTAATAGCATTATGTATGACGATAAATAAATAAATAAATAAATAAATAAATAAATAATTATATATAGTAGCTCTTTCGAGCGAAATTAACAATCAGAACGATTTACGTCCTTGATAAAGGATCAAACAATATAACCAAATGTTGCTCTCAATAAATTTCAGGCTGTTTTATAGAAAAATTAATGTTATAATTGTAAATTATTGTTTTACTGCTATTTATAGTTAAATTATCGTTAAGACATAATACCATAACATCGTACTTGATTATTACTCGGTAGAGGGTTGAGGGAATGGGTAGAGAAGAAGCAATTATTTAAGCAAAAACTTCGACGGGTCTCTGTCGTGGTGCGTTGTATAAAGTATCGAAAAGTATATTTGAAATTAATTTTGAATTTGACGCGTTTCTAACTTACTATTCCATTGTCCAACTGACAACAATATCGCTACAAAGCACTGTAAATTTCTCGTATTGTTCGCTTTATTCTCCCGCAGGATCTCTAATGGCCAGGTTCGTTCGCCGCTCACTCCCGTTGCACGTTACTTTGTATCTTAGTTGACGACGTCGAGCTATAATTTGCGCGCACACGAGACACGTCACGGGGAAAATGTATCGCGTGCTGGAAATTCGAAGCTCGGCGTGCAGCGGTGCACACGCAGCCCCGAGCATCGGACTTGGCTTATTTATTGTAGTAGGTGGCTAGGGTGACGGAAGACAAATCGACGAGCATAACTCGTCGAGAGGCAGGACTGCCCGTCAGTAGGAATCCATGCGCGCAGATGCACTTGAATCGCGCATTGAACGGATGCAGATTTATTCAACGGTACTTGCGCTGCAGCCGCGAGGGAAATTGCATTCTTTCTTTTTTTCTCTCTGCTTGTTTCTTTCCTTTCCTCGGTATCGAATTCGCGCCGTTTAACATACAATGAGGAAGGTTTATTTGATCTATTGAGAGTATATTGGTGATTGTATGCCGAGATTTATCTTATGCGAAAAACAAACGTATTTATTGTACCTTCTGAAATTTAAAATCAAATTATGCCCCACCAAATAGGCAATTCTAAAAAATTGTTACGTAGCCATGTGCGTGTCATCCATTACATGAGCTTTTCGATTTTTAAATACCTGCATTGGATTTCATAAGTTCCTTTGAGTGACCGACCGATTAGCAAATTTTGATGTAATTACCGATATGATTAATCGACGCTGGTTTTATGTACAATTGCTTTCGATATACAATTTATCTGTTAAATATATCCGTTATATAATAACCTTATTTTGCATTATTAATTTGGCATGATTTTATGTGAAAATAAAAAATTTATGTACTTAAATTGTAATAGGAAAAATTACTTCGCATGGATAACCTCGTTTTCGCACTTTTTTATTTTGTTTTTTTTTTTTTTTTTTATAGAATATCAATAGTAAATTAATTTAAATACTTCATTAAAATTCATTCTTCGTTAAATTCATTGAAAAGATGAAAATATTTTTAAATCGTTGATAATTTCAGTCCCGTGAAGTTGAATAAATGCAAAATAAAAAAAAAAAAGTAAAAAAAAAAAAACAAAAAAAAATTAATAACCTAAAAGATTATGCAATAAAATATTAGAAAGTTAGAGTATTGTATTAGTATTTCTTTTAACTTTATAAACAGTCTTTTTAAAAATTCTTAAGCTCATAAAGATAATATAAAGTAAATAATTGTCTTTTATAATATTCAATTGCGAAATAAAAATTTTAATGTAAAATAAAGAATAACGTAAAACAATTGTTCTTTAATTTAGTTCAATTTAAATCGCATAATCGATGCTTATTTTACAACAGACCCACTTCTTAAGGATTTATTCGATTAAAAAGAATTATGTCTTGTGTAATCATTAATGTACTTACCTTGGCAAAATACTTTAATTTCATCAAATCTATATTATATATATATTTTCTTTAATTTAATTGGAATTCTGAGCTTATATATATTTAAGGACAATTCTATATGAATATGTGGCGATGAATATGCGAAATTCACCGTCTTTATCATATTATTCCATCTATTATTCTACCTATCGTTGTTCTATAAATTTACAATGAATAAAAACTAATTTATTTTACAATTTAACTGCGAATGCTAGCTCGTTTCACGATTAACTATTAAAAGCATATATTCTCACCATGGTGAGAAAGGGTCGAGTAATCGAGTTTCATTATATAAAAAAAAAAAAAAAAAATACAAGGTAAAAAAAGGGTAAATCAAGGGTTAGGAAGCCAGTTTAAAGTAAATGAGATTTTTGCGTTATTTCATCGTAATGATGCCTTATTGTGAATAACGACATGGTAAGGATAATCTTTTCCGTCTTTATACTTTGGCAATCACTTGGTAATAACGGCACTTTCGCCAAATTGAAAGCTAAATCAATTACCAGCTCGACAAGAAAGCTTTAAAGCCGACTATCAGTGAGCTTTTACATATTCAAAGAGAAGAAATAAGAGGACTTTCTTTCAAATCACTTTAGACGCGAATCAGTTATTTTAAACCTTTGCAGTATTTCGAGAATTTAACAAGGCAGTTAAAAATGCCTATTTATTCAAAAAAAAAAAGAAAAAAAAAAAAAAAGAAAAAAACTTTATTATTTATTATTTAATATTTAATTGTGAAAGAAATTGTAATTAACCAATGTAAATTATTTACATTGAAAACTAATTGTATAATTTAAATTAATCACAAGTACATTATATGTTGATTATGCAACCGATACATCCAATACCCCCATATTATTCGTGTTTCAAAGAGAATATAATTTTGCAGCTCATATTTCTAAACGAAAAAAATAATTATTTTAAGATGTAATGACTTTTAGTAAATAGGCAATATTTAACGTTTCTGACAACAAAACAATCAATTTGAGTTTTCGAAAATTATTTCTGTCATACACGCGAAGTATAATAATAATGAGTGGGCGTATAGCCCGTACCTATGCTTTACGCTTTACCCTTTTAACAATTAATACGAAGTATCGAATACATCACAATGTAATGAAAGCCGACTTGATTATTCTATTAACGTATTATTATTTGAATGAATATGAAATTAATGTGATGTCGATTAAAAGTTCGCGACTCTCATTAAACTCGATGAAATTGATATTATTGTAATGTTTATGTTCATTGAAATATAATTACGAATGGCATACAGTATTCGATATTAGAATGCTAGTTAATTTAAAGCTTTTTAATAAGACATTTATTTCATAAAAGCACTACTTTACTTTCAATAGCGTCGAAAAATTCATATCATTGAAATAAAATTTATAATTGCTCCAAATATACTTGGAAATAATAATATTTTCTTCAAATTAATATTTGATGAAATTGTTAACTGCATTTGCTTAAAAACAGTGTAATAAAATAAAAATTTTATTGTTCATAAATTCCATAATATCATCCGTATATAGTACATTGTTATAAAGTTCCTAATACAACTATAATATCCGTTCAACTTGATAAATAAATTTTAATACTGTGGGAGTCCACCAGTAAATAATAATTATTTTCTATAAATTTTACATTAGTATTATGATAATATAGTATTAAGCATTAAAAACAAAAAAAAAACAAAACAAAAACAAAAAAAATAACAAAAAACAAAAAAAAAAAAAAACAAAAACAAAAAGAGAAAAAAAAAAAAAAGAAAAAGAAAGCTTCAATAATTTATAAAAATAACCCTCTGGTGAGTGACTAATGAATAATTTATTATACGGCTGCTAACAAAGTGATTAATTGCAACTATCTGAAAGATATATGATTCCTCGATGCAAAAGGTTTTTGAACCAATAAATATACTACCTTTCTACAAAATATCACATAATATTATGTACCAGATAACTGCTAATCTAGGATTTTTATTTCTACGAAATATACAAGTTTCTATATTAAACTAAGATTTCGAAAAATTTGTCAATTAATTTTATAAATTGTTGAACCATTACACTCAATTAATAATACATTTATATTCTATCATATAGTTATGGAAACCAATTATAAATCGTTAAAGCGGAAATCAATTTTGAATTAAAAGATAAAAAATTCTCTAGATTTAAATCAATACCAATCTAATGTATTGTCATGTGTGAAACTTTTTTTTAACGACAAAAATTAATAACATTTCTTTGAATTTAGTTAAAAGAAATGCCAACTCGGCCTCTAGCACTTGACACACTATATTTCACTTCATTTATTTATTAAAACAAGCAGTTTTTGCCTCATAACGCGCAAATTAAATTTCAACTCAAATGAAATGAACGATCTCCTACCTGAGTGTAATTCCTTGGAAGTGAGTCCTCTTCTGGACAATCGTTGCCAGTCCATATTACAACGTGAACTATACGTTCATCTAATCACTGGACATTCTACCATTCCCTGCTGATATCCACCGTCTCCCGGTTCAAAAGTCTATCGATCCTAGTACTTCGACTACCGGCATCTTTCGTGTCTCCTTAACTACCCACAGAAGCATTCGCCCAGGCACATGGGAATCGCGGCACCATCCAACGCACATTAATCATAGGCTTCCAGAGCTTTAGAGTTTCGGATGATCCAACAAGTTTAGGCTACAATTGCCCAAGTAAACATGTCACAGCGCACTTCATTAACTCGCGGGATATTGAGAGGACATTAATCCGGTTACGGGGAGCGAAGAAATCCTTAGAGCCTATTGGGACTCGAGGAACCCTGGTGATTCCCGTTCTCCGTGGGTGCGTTCGCTACTTGAATACGGAAGTACGTCAGCGGTGGTCGGCTCGCCGATCTAAGTAAAGATGAGGCAGCGAGGCTAAAAGGACGCTGGGGTTTTGCGGGAGAGCAACGCGCGCGAGAGGAGGAGAAGGAGGAGGAGGAGGAGGAGGAGGAGGGGGCGGCGGAGGAGGAGGAGGAGGGAACGGCAGCCACCA